TTAGGTTTGTAAAGCACTGGCAAAGTGGGTATACAATAAATGCTGGTTCTTTGACTTCTAATAAATATAGAACACTTAACTTTTGCCCTTGTACCTTCCAAGTTCCATCCTCCTTACTCTGCCTCATTCAGCATGAACTCTGTTTACTCTTTTCAGATTCTCTGTAACTAAGTCAATTTCCTATACTACTTAGATGCCTCAATAAAGGGTAGAGTTCTATTTGTCTTCACAGGAACCTATCAGTACAGTAATTACTAACGCTAATTAAAGAGAAGGTCTTGAGACTATACAATGGTTCCTGTATTTAAACCCCAGCTCCACCCCCTGCTGTATAAAGCAACTTCTTTGTCCCTCAATTTCTTCATTGTAAAAATGGGATAAAAGTTTTACTTCGTAAAGTTTATATTTTGAAATAAAATGAGATAATATGTGTACATGACATGCAGTATAAGAAGAATGTTAAGGCCTGGAAGGCCCTTAAAACATCTGTTCCAAATTTTGTATTTGATAAGTGAGTTCAGCGAAGCCCAGAGGGTAGATGAGCTGCCCAGGGTCACACACCATTAGGGTCACACACCATTAGCCTATGACATAGCACATACCTTTTTGTAAATGTTGACTTTGTTTTCTCACCACTTTCTGCCATACTGTTATAAATTTATCTGGCTATACTGGGAGGAGAAAAATAAGTGTTGTGTCCTTAAATGTGCATATTTCTCTTTCTTTTTCTTCTATTTATTCATTCTCATTTTCTCTCTCTCTCCCCCCCCCCGCCCTCTTTCTCCTCTTTATTTTTTTCCTTTTTTGTATTAGGCAATGAACCCAGGGGTGCTTTACCACTGACTTACATATCATACATCTCAGCCCTCTTAATTTTTTTATTTTTTGAGACAGGGCCTTACTAAATTGCCTAGACTGGCCTCAACATGGAATCCTCTTGCTTTGGCCTCCCTGGTAGCTGGGATTACAGGCATGTGCCACCACACCCACCTGCTGCTTATAAAAGTTGAAAGGGAAGATGATACAGTATGGTGACAATCATAGACTCATTTGAATCAGAAAGGCAGTGATGAGAAGCACTTGACTTAAAACTGGTGGGATCATTTGTTACATGAATCTCTTTCATCCCCTGCATTGCAGTGAACACCATGAAAAGGATGTATCCCTCAGAGACCAAATTCAATTTTAACCGCCCCTCAAACTCAGATTCAGCTGTTCAGAGCTGAACAGGCCAGCTTGTGGCTTCTGCAGATGAGACAGGCATGCAAGGGCTACAGAACCCTGAAATTTAAATAATCTGAGGGTAGATGGCAGGCAATGCTTTCTACAAGCTCCATAAAGAAGGTACTGTCCTGAAGTCAAAGGAGGAGAAAGCAGCAACAATGATAGCAGCAGATGCAAGGAAGCAAAGAAATGGAGTATATACTAGTGGTTAACTGTTGAGGCAAGAATATATATAGAGAAAACAGAAAATAAAAATAAAAATAACAGAGTTACTTTGGATTAGGTAGAGGGGAGTGAAGAGAGGGGAGGAGTATGGGGGTAGGAAGAACAGTAGAATGAATCTGACATTATTACCCTATGTACATATATGACTACATGACTGGTGTGATTCTACATCATGTACAACCAGAAGAATGATAAATTATACCCCATTTATGTATGACGTGCATCCTATTGTCATGTATAACTAATTAGAACAAATATTTTAAAAAGATAAAAAAAACAAGGAGGAACAGAGAAAAACAAGGACTCATGAGGAAAAAGGGAAGGAGGGGAGAATAAGAAGAAAGAGAAAGAGAGAGAGAGAGCGAAAGAGAGAGAGAGAGAGAGAGAGAGAGAGAGAGAGAGAGAGAGAGAGAAAGAGAAAGAAAGAGAGAGTCATCTAGAAAGACAATATCCACATGTAAAGCATGGGCAGGAACTCACACCTTCCTGGGCAGACTACCCTATCTGTGTGGGAGAAAGCACCTGGGTTTAAGTCCCTCAGGTCTCCTAAGAGTGTGGCTTGGACTTCTGCCCTAAAATTCCTTCAGATCTACGAAAAGGAGGGGAAAAAGGCTACAGAGCAGCCTGGTGGGGATGGCAGGAAAATGCTACAGTGGCAATATCTTGTCCTCTTGCCAGTGATGAGCAGCCCTCTGGGAGGGACACTGAGATATGAAGTTTCTTCTGTTGATTACTGAATGTGTCAGCCAGATGAGAGAAGAGGACTCAATGCAGGAAGAAGTCTCTATTAATCTTCCTGAGCACATAGCCAGTACAGAAGCAGCCATACCGTCTAATCCAGTAGTTGTGTAACAAAATCATGAAGAAGCTGATACTTCACGTACACAAGCACTCATTTGAGGGGTTTTCTGAAGCTGTCTTCCCCTCCCCATTCTACTTATGTTGAGTGCAACCAGTCATGTTATTTGAAACAAAAATGACAGAAGATTTTTCCAAAGATTCTCCACCTCTTCAAAATCTTCTTACATTTTTATGTTTGATTACCAATGAAAACAGAAGTGGCAATTTATTAAGGTCCCTGCTTCCTACAACTTTTCTTCAACTTGAAAGGTAGAATAACTGAGATACTTGTGTGTTCTTTTCATCAATATTGCTACCATGTCCTTTCATCCACTGCAAACTCAAATTCACAAACCTTAGAAAACTGTGGCTGTGGAGAAGCACAGGAGGTATCAACCATGCAGTTAACACGAGGTGCTTGCTACCTTGAGACATTGGTGAGAATTTCTGAGAATGTCAGCAGGACATTTCATAGCAGTTTTGCATCTCCTTCTCTAAACCTGGGAGTCTCGATGTTCAATGGGAAGATGAGAAGAGCGTCCTAAAGAGCAACCTAATATTTGGTGCAGTTCAACCTTAACTTTTGTGAGTCTACAATTTCTTTCTTTTTTTTTTTTTTTTCCTGTCTAATCCTTGGCACTATTTAAAGTCCTGAAAGAGCAATGAATAGATATTAAGAAAAGGAAAAAAAAGGTAATGGGCAGCAGGGGACTTATGTATCTCATTTTTCCATTCCTGTCCCCTCTTTGCCAGAACTATACCAGCAGAGGTGATGATGATATTGAGAGTGAGATGATGCTGCATGAGCAAGAACAGGTCCAAAACCTCTTTATTGACCAACAGAACATTATTTTATCACAGATTCTCCTTGGGACCTCAAGCTACCCCTTAGAACAGCAGTCAGCAAACTATAGCTTGCAGGCCAAGTCTAGCTAGCCATCTGTATTTTTATAGCCTTTGAGCCAAAAACTATTTTTATAAAGTTAAAATGGTTATAGAAATATCTATACAATAGCCTTATTTTGCTTTTTTACCCACAAAGATTGAAGTATGTATTTAGGTTTGCTGGCCTCTGGTCCATAGAAACTACAAGCTACCTATAGTCTGATTTTCTGATTTTAATCCCTCTATCCAAGTAGCCAAACAGTATAATTCTAGGGATTACGTGAAGAAAATAATCAGAGATATGTGAAATAATTATTGTATGAAAATTCTTTATAATGTTATTTATCATTGTATTGCACCAGAGTATAAAAAATCTATAGAATTGCTAAAATTTATCTTATAAATCAGAAACCATTTGTAATTTTAACATACTGGTTCTAAATGAAGATATATTCATATGATGAAATATTACATTTCGTGTGTGTGTGTGGTGTCGGGGAATTGAAACTAGGGCCTAGCTCATGTTAAACCACTAAGCTATATCTCTAGCCCACAACTATTTTTAAAAATCATACTTTTGGACCTGGGGGTTTAGCTCAGTAATAGATCACTTTTGTAGAATGTGCAAGGACCTGGATTTGATCCCTTGCACTGAAAAAAAAAGTGGTTTATAAAAATGACATGAAAAACTTTTATAACATGAAAGTAAAATAAATGAATCTAGGAATAAATATACAATTTTGAAAAAAAAAATGTCCACTGATAAATTTCCATTTCCCAGTGGCAGAGATCTGATAAGAACTGAATTTTCCAGGAGGTGAAGCTGACAGAGTTGTCTATCGTTTTTAAAAGCCAAAAAGTCACACCTATGGAGTTTTCTCCCCTTTGACTATATTAGCTATTCCTTATAGGTGGCTAAATTCTGAATTTTTTGTTTGTGTTCTTCCTACCCTGGGATGTTCCTGTTTTGACTGTTATTTCTAAGGAGTCTAAAAAAACAGAACAATCCTGTTATGGTTTAGATGTGGTATCCCCCAAAAGCTCACATGTGAGACAATGCAAGAAAGTTTAGAGGAGAAATGATTGGATTATAGCCTTAACATAACTGGTGGATTAATTCCTGATGGGATTAACTGAGTGGTAACTGGAGGCAGGTGGGGTGCGGCTGGAGGAAGTGGCTCATTGGGGGTGTGACTATGGGATATATATTTTGTATTTAAAGAGTGGAGTCTGTTCTCTCTACCTGCTGATCATCATGGGAGCTGCTTCTCTCTGCCACACTCTTCCACCATGGTGTTCTGCCTCACCTCAATCCCTGAGGAATGGTGCTGGCCTTCTATGGACTAACACCTCTAAAACTGTGAGCCCTCAAATAAACTTTTCCTCCTCTACAGTTATTTTGGTCAGGGTCTTTAGTCAGCAGTGAAAAAGCTGGCAAAAACAAATCCCATTATCAAAGAAGAGTGAATTCTTGTAGAAGATTTTTCAGAAGCACTCTACTCCTGTCTGGGAAAACTAACTATGATGTTGAAGGAGAATCATATGGCTAATTTCAAAGCTCAGCCAGATCTTGTGCCTGGACCAAAAGAATTAAATTTGAATTGTTTTATGGCTGCACTAACTAGAAGTTAGCTTCCATACAACTGTGAATAAGAAAGCTGCTTAATAAAGACAGTAATAGTAATAGAAACTTAAAAGGGCTTGGGGTAAGGTTCATCCAAAGTTTCAGCATATTCGATTCTGGATTGGAAGGGCTATCCATCCTACTCTCCACATTAGGTCTCTGAGAACACTAGATAGCTCCCCACTGGTGTGGCCTCCTTTACCTTTCATGGGCTGTCCATGTAGATGGGAGTCATGGCAATGCTGATGCTTTCAGCTGCTGGACAGGGCTCTTCCCAGGAAGAGCCTGCTTTCCTAGGCACCTGAAAGGATGAAAAGCACGTGACTGAAACTTGCACAGAGCTCCCTGGTGAAGGATCCACATTAGCCAAGATGAGGACTGCTCTGTTACTGGTATCTTCAACACATACACACACACACACACACACACACACACACACTTCTGCCTTTTCTCCTTCAGACCCTAAATGGTACCCTTAATTTCATTAAATTGTCCTGAACAGTTGCAAGTTCTCCACAGTAAACTAGTAAATAGCCTGATTTAAAAAGCACTCTGGGTTGTGTGTGGTGCTCAGAGGCTGAGGCAGGATGATCACCTGTACTGGGGAGTTTGAGGCCAGCCTAGGCAACAAAGCAAGATGCTGACAAAAGCTTTTATATTACTTTAAAAGGGCAAAAGATAAAGTGAATCCATCCATCAACACCATAATTTTAGTCCTCTAGGAAAACTTTTTCTCAAATTTTTAAAAAAATTTTTATTTGTTTTAATTAGTTATACATGACAGTACAATGACTTTGATATATCATATATTTGAATCAGATGGGATATAATTTCTCATTTTTCTGAGTGTACAGGTTGCAGAATCATATTGATCATGTAGTCACATATATATACACACAGTAATAATAATGTCTGTTTCATTCTACTATCTTTCCTATCCCCCTATTCCCTCCCCTCCTCTCCCCTCCCACTTCTTTCTACCTAATCTAAGATGATGCTATTTTTTTTCTCACATCTTCATACTTGTATTTTGTATAACAATTAGGGTCTCCTTCCACCATCCATGCAATTCCCTTTCCCCCTCCCTTTCCCTCCCACCTCTCTTCCCTATCTAGAGGTAATCTTCTTCCCATGCTCTTCCTCCCTACCCCATTTTGAGTCACCTCCCTTATATCAGAGAAGACATTAGGCATTTGTTATTTTGGGATTGGCTAACTTCACAGATTTCAATATTGAAAAATTATTATTTGAAAAATAACTTCTGAATTAATATAAAGAAATGACAATATCTTGTGTACACATTAATCCAAAATATTTTCACAAAGCACCAAAGAATAGTTTCCAATCTTTTCACCAAAACACCTTTATTACTGAAAGAATGTCCTAAACTTAATTTATTTAGGTTTTCCATCAAGATATCTAAAGCTGCTGATCAGAGCTTCTAATTAGCATAAAATGCAGGTGTGATATTTTTCAATCTGTGGTCAGCTGAATTCCTAAATTCAATAACCACAGATATGGAGTACCAACTACATTGTTGCAATGAACTCTGTGAGGCACCACTCAGATCCCTCCACTGGGGCCTGGATGCCTTAGTAGCTGGGAGTGCTGTCCAATTAGAGGCTGCCGATTAGCCTCCTCTGAGTTCCACCCCTGAGACTGTCACGGCCAATTAATGATCAGTGAGAGAGTTTGTGTGTATGCCGTGCATGTGTGCTATGTGTGCCTGTGTGTGTGTATGAAGGCCTAGCCATCTTGGCACAATTCTGCTTGTCTTTGAAAGCTGTGACAGATCCAGTGCTCACTTCACCTCACCGTCACTGGATGCTGCAGATCAGCTTCTCCCTGTGCCCCCTCCAGTTCTTCCTATTCCCTCCCAAAGATGTTGTGCCCAAGGACTCACGTTAATAACTGCCTACATGCTAAATTCCCTCTTTGTCTGCTTCCTCAGGAACTCAACCTGCAACACTTCTCCTCTTAAATTTTGACTTTTTTCTTTTCTTTTGTGTGCAAAAGAATCCAGAGCTTCACTCATGCTAGACAAGAGCTCTACCACTGAAACACAAAATCTGGACTCTTTCCCAGCTTAAATTCTGATATTTTATGTGAAATAATCTCATATCAGCAATTAAAAATGTGTCAATGGTAATCTGTTGCACTCTTTTTGAAAATTTATTACAGGAAATCTCAAACATACAAAATTAAAGAATATAATATAAAGAACCCCTACATACCCAGACACCAAAATTGTATACTTGGAACCAATCTTGTTTCATCTATATCTTCTACCTTCTCATACCACATAAGGTATGATTTTATCCACAAACCCTGAAGAAGCTTTAGAAGAAAATAACTTTAAAAAACCCATAATTTTAAAAAAGTACAAATTTATATTTTTAATTTCCCCAACTGTCTCAAAAAAAAAAAAAAAAGACCCCTACAATTTATCCAAAACAAAATTCAAATACTATCCCTACTTTATACTGTTATGTCCCTTAAGTCTTTTTAAAGATATAAGCTCCTCTTTATTTGTCCTTGCAACTCATTTGTTGAAGAAAATAGCTAATTTCTCCTGTAAAGATACAGTCTGGGGGAGCTGGGGGTGTGGCTCACCGGTAGAGTGCTCACTTAGCATGTGTGAAGCGCTGGGTTCGATCCTCAGCACCACACAAAAACCAAATAAATAAAATAAAGGTATTGTGTCCAACAACAACTAAAAATAAAAGAAAATAATAAAAAAATATATAGTCCAGATGTGTTGCTTTCATTCCTTTATTGTTTAACATGTTCCTCTGTGCCCTGTACTTCCTGAGAATTAGAAGTTACACCTAGAGGTTTGGGCAGAGTTAGGCCCAATTTTGGGCAAGACTTCTTGCCAAGTGGAGCTGTGCATTTCTCTCTGGAGGCAAATAGTGTCTGGCTTTCTTTCTGGTAGTGCTAGCTGCCACCAGATTTTTGCTAGATCTTGTAATTCTTTAGAGAGTATACATATTCTACATTTATTCTACACATATTCTATTATTTTTCTGTACTTATTGCCCAAAATATTCTAAAAGAGAAACTTCCCACACCAATTATTTGGTGACTCTGAGGTATGATTCATAAAGGAAAAGCAAAATACATGCTTGATTCTTTTCATCATCCACTGACATCACACTGAATGACTACGTGTGTTTCTCTTACCATCACATTGCAGCATGTTTTCCTAAGCCACATCCACAAATGTACACTGAGAATCTTTGGTACTTCCTGAGAGATACAGCAGTGGGTTATGACTGGGACAGCAGTGGCAAGAAGCCTCAGTTACCCCCAGTACCCTTTCAGATGCACTGACTATTATGTATAACAATACACATTGACTTAATTGCCTTCCACATTCGGACCCACAAAGTAGCAATTAGAGATTCAGACATCAGAAAGAACCTGTCCTTGACCTTAGAGGCTCCTTGTCTAATTGCTCAGGGAAGAAAACTGCCACAAAATAATGAGTGCCATACACATTTGCATGAGAACATACACAAGGACACACTGCATTCTAACAGGTAGGGGACAGGGCAGCCAAGCCTCCATAGATGCAGTGCCATATTCACTGAGTGGGCCTGAAAAGGTGTGTAGAAGGAAGAGAGCCTGCACAGAAGCAGAAAGACAAAAGTATGGAAATGCCCTTCACCTGCCTTTACAGGTAAATGGTATGCTTTATTACACTTCTGGCCTGCTTTCAACATGGAGTCCTAAGCAAAAAGCTAGAGTTACCCTGGATAGGATGAGAACATAGTCTGTCTATCTCTCCCCCCTGGCCTAGCTTGGCTGTCAAGTTATAACCATCTAACAGAAGCAGAGGAGCTTGTTGGTCTACACCTATTACCCAGGTTGGTTCCACTGCTATTAATCAGCAGGGACCCGAGACTCCAGAGACCTCTGCCTTCCACAAGAACCTGGCCAAATGCCTGCACCTACAGATAAAGACTGGAAGGAAACTGGAAGAAATAAACATAGGCTAGGCATGGTGGTGCATGCCAGCAATCCTAGCTATTCAGGAGGCTGAGGCAGAAGGATCGCAAGTTCAAGGCCAGCCCAGACAACTCAGTAATATCCTGTCTCAAAAAAAATTTTTTTTTTAAAGAGTTGGAGGATGTATCTTAGTGGTGGATTACCTGTCTGTTCAATCATCTCCAGCACTGAATTGAGGGGGGGAGGTAGAACTTGTTTATAACACTTATTTCATAATAAGTACAACAGAATCTCTTCAGTGCAAAAGCAAAGCATACAAAAAATGCTGTATAAGTAAATTTTATATAAGTTTGGTTCCATCTACTCAATGTTCACCCTTGAGAAAACATATCATGTTCACCATGAGAAGTCATCTGGGGGTAAGGAAAAAGTCTCAGGTCTTTGTCCTGCCTCCTGCTGTGAGTATCACCCTTTACATTAGGGGATGCTACTACCCCAAGATAACCTTTATCTCCCAGTATGAGCAGAAAGAGGATCCTTGGTGTGTACTAAATGATGACTCACTGACAAATTAAAATAAGATACCTCACCCCCAGCTTCACACCCTCCCAGCAACATATGGTCCTTGTTCTCCTTTCCAGTGGGAAAAGTCTGTGATTAGTTTATAGGGAAAAGCTGCCAGGCAGAGTTCTGGGCTCTTTCCTGGGTCTGATAAAGATATTTTTGGAAGAGGACACAGTGCCTTCAGTAAAGAGCCTATCCTAACCCTACTTTCCATCTTTCATTTGCCATCTCCCAGGCAACCTGCCCTGTTCTCTCTCCCTCGTTCTTTCCTTTCTATTTCATCATCACCTTCTACCTAACCTCTGCCCTATTGCACCCACCCACCAAGCCTTCTTATACGTGGGGCTCATCACTGAAGAAACCACTTCTGCCAAAGACACCAACCATACATTTCGTGATATTAAGGGATATAATTTTTAAAGGCAAACTAGAAGATTACTATTTGGGTTCTGTTTTTTTTTTTTGTTTGTTTGTTTGTTTTTTTTTTAGGTACTTATATTTTAAAATACTATGGAAGATGTATGTGTTCTGAATTTGAGAAAAAAATAAAAGGAAAGGTGAAACTGGAATAGAATTTAAATGAAACAAGACTGGCTATGAGTTGAAGATCAATGAAACTGAGGGATGAATAAAGTGGAATTTATTATACTAGTCTATTTTTTGGTCATCTGTCTGAAAAAATTCCATTAAAAAAAAAATCAGATCTGGGCATGATAGCACAAGCCTGTAATCCTAGCAACTCAGGAGGCTGAGGAAGGAGGATTGCTCATGAGACCCTGTCTCAAA